TGACAGGCAGCTCTTGGCAAAGCTTCTTCACCTGAAACAGGTTTCTCAACCAGTGACCCAGGTGGAGCCATGATTCTAACTCACATCTATGTGACAGCCCCTCCTCCCCACCCCGTGGTCACTAGGGTGAGCCTCCAATCGAATGCCAAAAAGCTCTACCAAGGTCTTTGGAATGTAGGCTACATCTCCTGTCTTGATGAATTGGCTTTCTCTGTCCTGATGGCACCGGTCAATGGTGGCTTTAAAAAAAAAATTATTAAAAATCTTTTTAAGGGGCTGGAGAGATGGCTCAGTGGTTAAGAACACTGACTGCTCTTGCAGAGGACCCAGGTTCGATTCCTGGCACCCACATGACAGCTACGAACCATCCTTAACTCCAGTTGCAGGGGAATCCAAAGCCCTCTTCTGACCTATGTGGCATTGGATGACACGGGTGCACTCACATACATGCAGGCAATATACTCTTACATATAAAATAAAAATAATAAAAATTTTTTTTTAATCTTTTGGGGCTGGAGACATGGCTCAGCGGTTAACACTGGTTGTTCTTGGAGAAGACCCAGGTTCGAACCCCAGCACCCACATGGCAGCTAACAACTGTCTGTAACTCCAGTCCCAGGGGATCTGACATTCTCTTCTGACCACCTCAGGCATTGCACAGCATTGTACCGCATGACAGGACATGGGTACGCTTAACACTTAACGGATACACTTATCGACATGCAGGCAATACATGCATATACATAAAATAAAAATAAATTAAAAATTTTTTTTTTAATCTTTTTAAGCATACCTTTAATCCCAGCACTCAGGAGACAGAGGCAAATGGATCTCTGTGAGTTCAAGGCCAACCTGGTCTACAATAGCAAGTTCCAGGCTGGCTGTGGTTACAGGGAGACCCTGTTTCAAAAAGATAAAAATAAAATCTTTTTAAACTTTTGTCTGTGTGGGAGGGTGTGCATGTACCACTGTGCAAATGCAGAGATCAGAGACAGTTTTGGGGAAGTCAGCTCTCTCCTTCCACCATGAGGGATAAAGAGACTGAATCAGGTCATCAGGTTTGGCTGCAAGCACCTTTCTCTACCCACTGAACCATCTCACCAATGGTGATCATTTTTCAAGGCTATCCAGATGACCCCTCCTCCAGGAGGCCTTCCCTTCACAGTTACCATTAGAATCAATCTCCCCACTGCCTAGCCAGCAAGGATCCCAGGCTAGACCAAGCTCAAGTGGCAGCCCCTGGTATATTTTCTCTCTCTCCAGGGACTATGACATGTTCAGGGATGTATCAAGAGTTTCATGGTTTAAGGCCCAGCGTGGTGGCACATGCCTTTAGTCCCAGCACTCAGCACTTGGGAGGCAGATCTCTGTGAGTTCAAGGCCAGCCTGGTCTACATAGTGAGTTCCAGGCCAGCTGGGGCTACAGGGAGATCCTGTCTCAAAGACACCAAAAAAAAAAAAAGCTTCATGGTTTACATAGTCACACTTAATATGCATGCACCTTGGTATGGCAGCTCTGCTAGACACAACAGAGGTCATGCCACACAAACTCCCTCCCTTTTCCTTTGGTAAATCTACTGGAACCCTAGGTTTGAGCAATCTGCACTAACAACCCCAGAGCTTCTGTAGCATTGCTCAAGACTAAGCCCACCCCATGGTTCTCAGGCTGTACTGGAGCCTCTGGGCTGTCAGAGCCAGTAGCCCTGCAGAGTAAAGCCACTCTCCTACATATAGTCCCTATTACGTGCTGTGCCCTGAGACAGGATGGGCAGCAAGAATTCTGTGCCAGAGGAGTTGAGGGCCATCTGAGGCAACACCACAACCTGTGATGGGGGCCAAAAGATACAGCCTAAAAACTTGCCTTTCAGCATCCCTCCCATCTTGTCGTTGGCCCTATGATGAGTCCTTGTCACCTGCTCACAGTATGGTATGCCAAACTGTGGCTCAGTGACCTCTACTTACCCATCCCCCAAACTAAGTTCACCAGACATGTCCTTCATTCAACAGAGATGCACCCAGTAGGCACCAGATGCCATGCTGGGCACACAAAAAAGGGAATACACCCCTGCCTTGCAGCTTCAAGGGCCAATACCATGTTCTAGTGGGAAAAGCAGGAACCTGGGGAGCCTGAGATGCTTCACCAGCCTTGGTGGAGCTAAGGAAGGATTCTAGATCTCTGAATTGAATATTAAAGAACAATCAAGTAGGGACAAAAAGGTGCAAAGTCCCAGGGGCAAGAAAAAAACTGCAGTATCTATACTCTGAACCTTCATGGAGCCTGCAATGGGCACTGTTCTTCCAGGTGTCCAGTTCAGGTTGTCCACCAGAGCCTCAAATTCCATCTAGGCATACCTGGTCAGTTAGGCTGAACTGGGTGGTGTGGGGGTTCCTCTGTAGTGAGACTGGTTTCAGTTTCTCTACTCCCCCACCAAGCTGACAGGGAAAACTATCTTGCTAGTGTGTACCACATCTGCCCTGGTGACAATGACTGTGCCTGCCTGCTGGCAGGACTACAGGGAATGGAAGGAGGTACTGAGCGGGTGGGGCAGCAGGCGTGGTTCTGGCTGGGAGGGAAGATTGGCACTTGCCCAGCTTGAGTCCCGTTGCCTGGACAGAGTCTGCCGCTACTTGGAAATGGCACCCAGAATTCTGAATCTGCTCCAGCTGGGATCCCCCTGCCACCTTATTCCTACATGAAGAAAGGATAACTCAAGTCAGGACCTCTTCCCAGGCAGCCACTGACAGATTGGTCCTGCAGATTGGGTCCTCCATTTCAGACACAGTTAATTTCCCCCTAGCTGCACACCCTCTGCAGGGTCTTCCTTCACCCCGAATCCCTAACAAGAATCTCCATGAGGTTCCTTTTGGGCCCATCCTGGGTACTCTTCTGGCCCAAGCTAGGAATAGATTTCTGAGGAGAAGGCCAGAGAGGCAGGACGCTGAAATAGGCTGTTCCTTTACCAAGTGCTAAGCTAGATCCTAGCCACTGGCTGCTGGCAGCCCAGGATGGGAAGGGGTACCAGGTACCACCTGGCCTGGCCCAAAACCTGAGCTGGGCTCTAAGGGGCAAGCCAGTCCAGTTAGAGTAAGGAACCCTGTGTCACAGCACAGAGCAGCAGAAGTCCTGTGTCTCTCGGCTCTTTGGTCCAGTCCCACACCTCAGCCACCACAATAACTGTAATAAACCCGGGGAGGAGCTGACAAGAGGCTCCAGGATGGGCACTGGAAGGCAGCAGTCCCGGAAGTGCGCTCCCCAGGCCCAGCAGCGGGCATTCCGCCGCCGCGTCGACACCCACTCACTGCTTGCCGCACTCGCAGCAGAGACAGGAAGAGGCAAGCGCCCAACGCAAAGCAGCCCAGGAGGCTGGGCCGCCGCCCCTTCCCGCCCCTTCTCTTCCTCCCCGCGGCAGCAGTAGAACGGATGCCATTTTGAAACCTCCGGGGCTGTGCCCCCAGGCCGGGCCCGCCGGGACAGTCAACAGATGGGCCCATAATGGACATACATGCTGCTTCTCGGCCACAGGCCCAGCATAAAAAGCCTCCCTTTTCAGAGCTGCAGGCCCCAAGGCAGCTTTGGGACTGAGGGACCACACCCCCCACATACTCTCCACCGATTATGCTGTGGCGCTGCTGCCAGGGGCCTCCCTCCCCACAATCCAGAGGACCCCATCTCCCCAAGTCAGGCTTCCAAAGGAATCACTCCGGCTCCCTGTGGGAGAGGACACAGACAACCTCCAGGCCTGCTCTTTGAGAAAGGCTAGCTTGGATGCTCCAGGGCACCCAGGCCTACCTCCAGCTGACCCCCTCCCTCCCCAGCCCCTCTATTCAGCTGGCCCACCACTCCCCCTTGCAGGATTCCTCTGGGATCTAACAGATCCACCCACTCTCCTAGGCCGCATCCCAGGCCTTTCAGCCCAGGGTATGAGAATCCTAGCACCCGGCAGTAGATCTCATTCTGCCCATAGGAGCAGCAATATGTCGGCTGTCTCATCACTTCCACTTCCCTGCCCTCCCCCCCATTCCAGCAGCCACCATCTTCCTTGGCCTTGGAAGTGGCTACAACCCTAACTCCTCCACATTCCCTCCTATTTCCCAGACTCCCCTGTCACTGGGTCAGACAGGCCTTGGAAACTGGGAAACATAGTCCCATTCCCTAATGGAACTTCCCAAGGATGCTGGAGGCCTGGCCCCCTTCCTCAATGTAACTAATGGAGCTTCAATCCAGCCTCTTTGGGGGTCTGCCCAACTCAACCTAGGCCCTCTCCAGCCTCTAGTCACCTTCCTCCCAGCAAGGCCCACCTAGGGCAGGAGGGTACAGAATCAGATGAAGACCAGAATGTGGGAGACTTACGAGGAGGGGCAGAGGATTCGGGGATTGATGCCTGCAGAGAGAGATCTAGTAACCAGGAGCAGAGCTTCTGAAGAGATTCAAGGTAGAGAAGACTGGAGTCAGTTTCCCACTTGATCAGAGTGCACAGGTGGAGGACATAAGATTCCAGAGTAAGGAATAGGGACCAGGAAGGAGTGGGTTGGGGCCTCCTAAGGGCCCCAGGGAATGCTCACTTCCAATAGGAACAGGGAAAATAGGTGGGGGAAATAGGTGAAGCTTGAAGGTGGGGAACCAGTAGGGTTCTGAAGGCTTAAGTAAAGCCTAGGAAAGGGTGGACGTACAGCGCAGAGGCTGAGGTTCTGAGGCTGGATAGTAAGAGGTCTGGTGGCTGGTGTGCGCTTGGACATAGTTGTCTGGGTTTGGGTTTAAGATCTGAAATGAGCTGCAGATCGGAACTAGAGTCTGGACTAGGATCAGAGGTCTACACCAACCCAGAGTTTCCTATTCTTATTGGGGGCCATGGTCAGGCTGGTCCTGAGGGATTGAAGCCCAGTTAGGAGTTGGGTCCAGACCAGGCTAGGGAGTTTGAAGTCCTTGTTTGGGAGGACAAAGTCCTTGTCTGGGAATTATTACTGGGAGTCAGGGGTCTCAGAATGGGGTGCGGCCTCACCTAACAGGAGCAACTTCACCTCGCGCGCCGCCTTCTCGCCGTCCTCCCGCAGGTTCTTGTCGATCATTTTGGAGCGCTCGGCCGCCGCCTTGTCCTCGGCGCTCACGGTGCAGCCCATCCTGCCGTCCGCCGGCCCGGCCTGGCCCCCACACGGCCCACGGCCCGGCTCGGCCCCGCCCGACCCACTCCGCTCCCACCGCCGGCCCTGCGCTGGCAGCTCTTGGATCTGCAGTTCCGAGCGACTGCGGGAGGCGCCTTCCCGGCCGCCGCGCACCAACGGCGGGGCGGGCCAGAGGTGGGGCCGAGGCGAAGGGAGCACGGGACTGGACCGGGGCGGGGTCCGGAGGCGGGGTCCAAGGAAATTTGGGGGTGGTTGATTGGCCAGAGGGCGGAGCAAAGGGAGCGATCAGGCACCGCCCAGGCTCGGAAGCGGGCTGAAGGCGGGGCCAAGCCGAGCGAAGGCTATAGTGGTGAAAGCAGGCTCAGGCTTTGGGCTGGCTGCAGGCAGAGCCGACTGGGCTTGGGCGCTGAGCGCCTGGGGCTCTGCTTCGGGACTGTGGTACTAATTGATCTCTTAGCCCAAGGATGAAGAGTGGATGCCCTCCCCATAAGCCGAATAGAAACCAGCTCTCTGAACTTTATGCGAGTTGGGCAAGTAAGGTGGAGGAGACGTGTGTTCATCACTTGCTAAAGTTAAAGAATCCACAAACTTACTTGGGAATCTCCTGAACTCGGAGTGTGAGAGGGGTGGGAGATGGTGCCTTTGTGAACCTTGGTTTTCTTTAAAACTGCTTTTCCATCTGGGCGTTATGGCACACGCCTTTTTAATCCCAGCACTGGGAGACAGAGGCAGGCGGATCTCTGTGAGTTCAAAGCCAGCCTGGTCTATATAGCGAGTTCCAGGACAGCTGGGGCTACAGGGAGACTATCTCAAAAAGACAAAAAAAAAAAAAATCCCAGCTTTTCCTGGGGCCGGAGAAATAGCTCAGAGTTTAAGAGAGAGCATTTGCGCTCTTGCAAAGGACCCAAGTTAATTTCCCAACATCCACATAGCAGCTAACCACTTTCTGGCCTCCCTGACCACCAGGAACCAGGCACACACATGGTGCACATACATGCAGGCAAAACACCCATAAGGCAAACATGAATTAAACTTTTTTTGTGTGTGTCTTTTTGAGACAGCCCCAACTGTCCTGGAACTCACTATGTAGACAGGCTGGCCTTGAACTCAGAGATCTGCCTTCCTCTGCCTCCAAAGTGCGGGACTACAGGTATGCACCACCACACCCCGTGAATTGAACATTTTTTATGATAGCGTTTTCCCTTTTCTCTAGGTTGCAGCACATCATAAATAATAGCTGAGTGCCGCCTTTACACCTTTGTCTCTGATGGGTTCTTCTCCAGTCATCCAAACTTTATATGTCCTTCCCTGATATGTTGGGAGGCATTCTCCTGCAGGCAGCAATCCTGAGCTTCAGCCTTTGACCACACAAAAAGGACTCTAGCAGGGAGAGGGGAACAGAGGGAAGGAGAAAGTTGCCATTGGACTTCTGGAAACAAAAGTCACCATAATCTTACACTTTGTCCCTTCCATCACATGTCCTCAGTCCCATGTCTCCTCTGGTAGTCTGTCCTCACTAGGTAGTGACTGCATCCCTAACGCTGGGCCAAGGTGGAGTTGAAAGCAGTATTTCCTTTCTTTTTTTTTTTTTTTTTTTTGGTCTTTTTGAGACAGGGTCTCCCTGTAGTCCCAGCTGTCTTGAAACTCACTATGTAGACCAGGCTGACCTTGAATTCACAAAGATCTGCCTGCCTCTGCCTCCTGAGTGCTGGGATTAATGGCGTGGGACTCCAAGCCTGGCTGGCAGCAGTATTTCTAACTCAACCTTTCCAATCTTTATTTGCTCTGCAAGAGGAGCATGTGACCACCAACTTTGGCCATTTGAAATGTCTTCCAAGGATTATCCAGTGAGGTGTCCTGTGTGGCCCCAGTCCAAAGCCAGGCAGGGAATTTGCCAGTAAGGTTTAGCAGCAGCTTGTTAGTACATCTACCCTCTTTACTATCTTGGCAGACAGTCACACCTTGTTCTAGCTCTCAGTCCTCATGTTGTCTGCTCCCTCTAGTGTGCCTGGGTATCCCTATCTGAATGTCTTCCTAGTGGAGGAGTCATTGTCCTGTAATCCTTCAACAGTTTCCCTCAGGGCTTCTCCTGCCTGAAGCCAAAACTCAAGCTGGCTCTGCCCTGAGCATTAAACAAGCAGGATGAAAACACATAATACTACCAATGGAGAGAGATATGCTCTATCCATCCACCTGTAGGCCTAGCCTCCAACATGCCAAGTCCACAAAACACACCATGAACCTGAGTGCACACAGCCACGAGCACACAGTCTGTCCACACACATACAGACAAATCCCTCTCCAAGGAAGCCTCTTCCCCCACTGCCCCACCCTGTGCTTGAGTGCTTTGCTCCTCTGGCCTCCCTAGCTTGCTCCTAGCAACAGCCAACAGCTCTCTCAGTTGCCAGGCAACAAGAGAACCTGTCAGCCCCTTGGAGGCCCTGCTCTAGGGATGTGGGCAGCACACAGACCCCAGGCAATGAAGGTTGGGTAGGAAGACATAGCCTTCTTCAGGTCTGGACAAGGTCCTGTAGCTCTTGCCTGATTCCGATTCCCAACAGCCAGCCACTCCTTTCCAGTCCTGTGTCTCTTCCTAGGGAGTCTGGTAACTCCTGCTTCCTAGGTTTTGGCCTCTCCTTCATTTTTGTGGGACTCCCCAGGGCTGTGGTCAGGCCTTTGATTGCTACTCCAGTTACTTCCCTCCCTTTCCAGAGATTCAGAACTCACATGGTCAATTCATTTGACTTCTTCCTGATTGTCAGCCCCAAGTCTGAAGCCTCTGCCAGATACTTCAGATCCCCTCAAATCCATACTGCCTAGAACTGGGTACATCCCCACCCCACTAGTACCTGTTTCAGGGCTGTCTCTTCATGGTCTCTCTCATTAGCCAGAACTATGAGCCTTCACTCCCACCGACATATGGTCAACCTCTTCCCCACCTTAACTCATTCTGCGAATCTGTCCCTGTTCTCTGTTCCCATTGTCTCCCATTCTAGGGAAATATCCTCCTCCCCAGCTTTTCTGCTGTTTCTCCAATCCATCTCCCACACAGCAGCTAACAAAGTGTTACTGTAAGAAATTATATCTCTCTCTTGTCTACGAACCTCTGGCTCCCCAGTGCACTAAGGATAAAAACTTGAACTCTACAAGAGGTAGCATAGTGGTAATCCAAAAGGATTCTGGGAAACTCTGCAAATTTGCTGGCTGTATCTTCTTTGGATAAGTACCAAAAGCTTCTTATGCCTGGGTTTCCTCACCAGTAAAATGGATCCAACAGCTATACTTACTCAAGACACAGGCTGAGATGAGGAAACAGGGAGGAAACAGGCAAAATGTTTAGAATGTGTGGGGCACATAGAATGCTTCAATGTGGGTGAATGGTAAAAATAGTGATTTTAGGAACTGGAGAGATATCTCAGCAGTTAACACTTGCTGCTATTGCAAAGGACCTGGGTCTGGTTCCAGCACCCAATGGCAGCTCACAACTGTCTGTAACTGCAGTTCCAAGGGATCCAAGTTTTCCTTTGGCCTCTGTGGGCACATGGTATACATACATACATGCAGGCAAAACACTCATACACATAAAATAAAAATAAATTTTGTGAAAAATAGTGATTTCTGTAAGGCCTTATAGACAACCCAAAGGACAACCTCAAACTTTCTATGTAGATCAGATTGGCCTTGAACTTCTAGAATCCTCCTGCCTCCTGTGGGCTGGGATTGTAGGCATGGGCCACCACATCTGGCTCATATTCCAACTATCTTGCTTTGCTCTTCCCATTTCATTCCTCACACCATCACCACACCCCGCCCCCCGCAACCATCTTTCATTCCCTGTGAACTGGGTCTCTCTGACTTCCAATGTCTCTTCCTTAGCTAGATCCCATTGAGGCGAGTCTGATGATGGATCTCTTCCATCCAGGTTCCTATTTCTAAGTCCTTTGCAGGGTGGCAGGTAAATATTTATGAAATTAATTAATAAATGACCCCAAATCTACTCCACCCTACTGGAAGGTCTTCTTATCTCCGAGCAGGGACAAGTGTAAACTACTGTTCACCCTAGGTTGAGTGTGGGAGTCCACACCTGTAATCCCGGTAATCCAGAGGTGGAGGCAAGAATATCAGAAGTTCAAAGTCATCCCCATCTCCATATCATGCTTGAGACCAACCTGGGTTATATAGTGAGACCCTGCTCAGACTCTCCCCCCAAAATAATTAAGAAAAACAAAAGATTTGCCATAAATATAGGTGTAAGAAAGGAGAAACTAATGTTGATTGTGAAGCTCATGAAACCAACCTTCTTGGTGGAAGTGATATATAGAGTGCTTAAGGGAGAGGACAGTGAGGGAGAACATTACAGAAAAAGACACATGATGGCATATATCTGTAATCCCTGCACTCAGGAGGCAGAGGCAAGAGGCTCAGGGGGTCAAGGTCATCCTTAGCTGCCTACCAATTTCAACTAGGCAGTGAGATCTTGTCTCAAAAAGAAAATGGAGGAATGGAGGGAGGGAGGAACACATGTAAAGGTAGAGAGGTAGGGCTGAGGAGGACATGGGGGAAAAAGTTAGAATTAGAGCCGGGCGTGGTGTCACACACCTTTAATCCCAGCACTTGGGAGGCAGAGGCAGGCAGATCTCTGTGAGTTCAAAGCCAGCTTGGTTTACATAGTGAGTTCCAGGACAGCTTCGGCTACAGGGAGACCCTGTCTCAAAAGACCAAAAAAAAAAAAAAATAGGATTAGAGCTAGATAAACCCCTTGTTTTGTTTTTTTAAATATTGTATTTATTATTTTTCTTTTATGTGTATGAGTGTATTGCCTGGATGTATGTGAGTGTGCCCGTGTTGTGCATTGCTTCGGAGGCTTTGGATTCTCCTGGAACTGGAGTTAAGGATGGTTTCTGGCAGCCATGTGGGTGCTGGGAATTGAACCCAGGTCCTCCACAAGAGCAGTCAGTGCTCTTAACCGCTGAGTCATCTCTCCAGCCCCAAACCCCTTGTTTTGTAGCTGAATCAACTGAGGTCCAGTCCAGTCACCCTGAGAGACAGCAAAAGTATCCTGGCTCTTCTGCATTCAGGAATTGAGGGGTGCTACTCCTAGGGTAGCTACTTAGGGTCTCTGAGCATCAGAGGAAACATGATTCTGTGTCTAATAGGTCCAGCATCACCTGGACTTGACGATGAAGGACAGCAAGGCTAAGAGTGGCACCCCAGCTGGAATGCTGAAGGAAACTAATGTCTCACCCCAAGAGCCACAACAGCTTTGTGCCTCACCACTGGCCACAAAGCCTGTCCAGCTTGTCCTGAGTTCCTATGAAGCCGCAGTCCTGGGCAGGGTGAGGAAAGGAGACCCCCTTCAGTGGGCTGTAACACCCCAGCCTACAGGCGCCAGGAAGAGGAAGCTGCTAGTACTTCCTCAAAAAGCTGTTTCAGGGTGGGTGTGTCCACTGCCCTGCCCTGAGTCCAGAATGGTCAGGACCCCCAGGGAAGTCTACAGTCTAAGATCCTGACTACTTTATCTCCATGGCTATTAGGTAGCAGGGAGTCTCCAGCCAAGAATCTGTGACCACCAAATCACTCCCTTAGAGACAGGACCTTGGCAACTTGTGCTTGAGCATCTCAGTAACCAGAGCTTCCTCTCCCCCAACAACCCTGAGCCAGGCTCCACCTCCTGGTCTATCCCCTGAACTTCCCCCTTTTTGCTTCTTGGCTCAGTAGCAACTCTGAGATTGGAGTGGGCTAACCTGCCCTCTTTGCCGGTCCCTGCCAGACTTATCTTCCTAGCCCCCTTTTCTCCCAAAAGGAACAAAACAAGGCTGGGCATTTTGGATCCCAAGTTCTCTTTCTGGTCATCTACTCTTTTCACAGACAATTGACTTTGGCTCAGAGAACTCAAGACCCAGAACTCCTTGCCCAGAAGTTTCTGGATTAGGCAAGATCTGCCACCCCTCCTCCCCTAATCTGGGTGTCTTTGTTTGTTTTTCCATTGCTGTGACAAAATATTCTGACCAAAACCAACTTGGAGAGGAAAGGGTTTATTTTATTTTACATCATCGGGGAGCCCAAGGTAGGAACTCAGGGCAGGAACCTGGAGACAGGAGCTAGAACACAGGCCATGGAGGAATTTTACTTACTGCCTTGCTCCCTGGCCCCTGCTCAGCTTGCTTTCTTATGTAACACTGGCCTACCTGCCCGGGGTGGCACCACCCACAGTGGGCTGGGCCCTCCCACATCAAGATGCCCCACAGACATGTCCCTAGTCCAGTCCCATGGAGGTAATTCCCCAATTGAGGCTCCCTCAACCCAGGTGTACCAAGTTGACACTAAAGCTATCCAGCACACTGGGGGAAGCTTCATCTGTTCATCTGCTCAAGCACTGGAAATCTGTTGAGTGCCAGTGGGCTGAGAAACCTAGGGCAGGGAAGGCAAGTGGACTCATGGACCCTGCCCCCAGGAACACATGCTAAACAAGTAAACAGGGAAATGAACTCCAGTTTCAGAGGAAATCTACCGGGTAACACAAGAGTCACTGGGAGGTATGTGCAGGGAAGACAGTCTGAGGAAGGGAACTCTGAATCGTAGAAAGGAACACTCCTGTGACAAGCAGAGGGGGATGACATACTGTGTAAGAGCAAATACAAAGGCTTTGGGGTAGGATGGAGCTGACTGTTCCTGCACCAAAAGAGAGCCCGGCCTGGCCAGAATAATGAGAGCAAGAGGACAGTAATGTGAGAGGTGTAACTGAGGTGTACACTAAGGAGTAACATCAGCATCTCCAAACCAGTGTCTATCCTTGTAAATCCTCCTGGTCCTGGCATTTGGTGATGCTTCTGATATGACTAGGGAGGAGTGGCCCTGGGACCTGGCAGTAGAGCCAGAGGGCACTCAGGGTTTGGGGGCCAAGGTCAGAACTGAGCCTCCCTTTTCTGAGGGCTTGAAGAGCTCAAGGCCCAATCTTTCATTGTGTCTGCCCAATACACAGCCTCTGAAGGCTACCTCCCCCAGGAAGCCTAGGGTCCTAGTGGTACCTAGGAAATGATAATCAGTTCTATTCCCAGGAACTGTTGGTTTGCTCACATTGTTGCCTGGTCCTCTTTTCCATGCTATCCAAAGGCTGGGGCTGGTAGCCTCTCTGGTGACTCGTTAGTGCTGTCATTAGCACTGCTCCCTGGAATTTAATTTAATGAAGAAACAAAAACAGCTCTAATGAAGGTGATGCAACAGTAGCAAGGTGCATCTTCTCATCTGGTCTTGTGGCCTTTCTGTAGATGGTGATGGGGACTAGAGAAGGGTAAGGGGAGCCTATCCTGGGAAGAAAGCTGGTCACTACATCAAGAAAGCACAGGGCCTGGCTGGAGAGAAAGCTCAATGGTTAAGAGCACTGGCTGCTCTTACAGAGCACCTACATGGTGGCTAACAACCATCTGTAACCCCAGTTCCAGGGGATCCAATGCCCACTTCTGACTTCTGTGGGCAATATACTCATACATATAAAATAAAAAAACAAGTAAAAAAAATTTGGGGGTCTTTTTTGAGACAGGGTCTTGCAGTAGCTTCTACTGGGCAATACACTCATACATATAAAAAATAGTAAGTAAGCGTGGTGTGGTGGCACACGCCTTTAGTCCCTGCATTTGGAAGGCAGAGGCAGGTGGATCTTTGTGAGTTTGAGGCCAGCCTGGTCTACATAGTGAATTCCAGGACAGCTGGGGCTACAGGGAGACCCTGTCTCAAGAAAAAAAAACAAAAAACAAAAAAAAATTAGTAAGTAAAAAAAAATGTTTTGGTCTTTTTTGAGACAGGGTCTCATTGTGGCTTCAACTGGGCTGTAACTCACTCCATAGACCAGGCTGGCCTTGAATTCACAGAGATCCACCTGCTTCTGACTTCCAAGTGCTGGGATCAAAAGTGTATGCTACTGCCAGGTGTGGTGGCACACGCCTTTAATCCCTGCATTTGGAAGGCAGAGGCAGGTGGATCTTTGTGAGTTTGAGGACAGCCTGGTCTACATAGTGAGTTCCAGGACAGCTGGGGCTACAAGGAGACCCTGTCATAAAAAAAGACAAAATAAATAAATGTGTGCTACCACACTCAGTGTAAAATATTTTTTTAAAAAAGCAAGCACAGGGTCATTGCACCGCCCTACAGGAAGCAAATGCTGCAATCACAGTCAATTAGACAGAAATGTGCCTGGTGAAGCTCAGGCTGTTGGAGAACTAGCTTCTGAGAAGCCATCAAGCAGTGCAAAGATCCTAAGGTGAGGGCCAGCAGTGTCACTGTAACAGGCTGAGGTATAGGCTAGTGCCTGAAAGGTGGAGGTCCGCTGTGCCCAGATCATCAAGGCCATGGGGGCCAGGAAGAGTAAAACTGTATGCTAAGCATGATAAGAATCATTTCAGTGGCCTGGCATGGTAGCGCATGCCTTTAGTCCCAGCAGTGGGGAGGCAGAGGCAGGCAGATCTCTGTAAGTTGAGGCCAGCTTGGTCTCTATAGTGAATATAGGCCAGCTGTGGCTATAGGGAAACCCTGTCTCAAAAAGACCAAAAAAGAAAAAAAAAAAAAAAGAATAATTTCAGGGTCTTTTTGCTTAGTTTTAGATTCATTTTATATATATGAATGTTTTGCCTATGTGTCTATAAGTGTACCACATGCATGCCTAGTGCCCACAGAAACCAGAAGAGGGTGTCAGATCCACTGGGACTAGAGTTACAAATGGTTGTGAACTACTATGTGGGTGCTAGGAACTGAACTCAGGTCCTCCACAAGAATACCAAGTGTTCTTAACCACTGAGCCATCTCTCCAGTCCGTATTTTATTATTTGACGACAATTATGCGTATGCATCTGTGTGGGTACAATGCATGTAAATGCAGGTGCCTGCAGAGATCAGAAGGTGCCAGAATACCTGGAGCTGGTGTTACAGACGGTTGTGAGCTGCCCATATGGATGCTAGGAATGGAACTAGGGTTCTCTGCAGGAGCAGCAAGTGCTCTTAACTGCTGAGCCATCTCTCCAGCCTCAAGATCTGATATTTTAAAGTTCCTTCTGGCTACTATGAGGAGTATGGCCTAAAGACAAGAGAGAAGGCTGGGGGGCAGGGAGTGGCTATCATGTGAGGGTGATGGAGTGAAGCCTGTCCTACAGGAAGGTTCTGTGTCTCCTAGGAGAAGGACTCTTAGGTATGTGTATGCAAATACATTAAGGGGCTGTTTTTGTTTCCTCCAGCAGACTGGGCTAGATGGTCCCCTTTTAGCCTTCCCTGAAGGCTTGGCCTTTCCTCCAAATGGAGGTTGCTCAAACATATAAAGAAACCTTTAAGCCATACTAATGGCAAACCTTTAATCCCAGCACTAGGGCGGCAGAGGCAGGTGGTCCTCTGTGAGCTTGAAGCCAGTGTGTACTACATAGCAAGTTTCTAGTCAGACAGGGTTATACAGCAAAATCCTGTTTCAAAAAGCAAAACAAAGGGCTGGAGAGATGGCTCAGCGGTTAAGAACGCTGACTGTTCTTAAAGAAGACCCAGGTTCAAATCCCAGCACCCAAACGGCAGCTAACAACTGTCCATAACTCCAATTCCAGGGCATCCGACAGCCTCTTCTGTCTTCCATGGGGATACAGGTGCACTTACCTACATGCAGGCAATACATGTATACACATAAAATAAAAATAATAAAACATAAACAAAAAACCCCAAAACAACCAGCAATAACAAAAAAATCCAAACCAAAATACTTAAAAAATATTATTATTGGGGCTGGAGAGATGGCTCAGTGGTTGAGAGCACTGACTGCTCTTGCAGAGGACCTGGGTTCGATTCCCAGCACCCACATGACGGCTACGAACCATCCTTGACTCCAGTTCCAGGGGAATCCAACAGCCTCTTCTGACCTCCGTGGCATTGCAGGACACAGGTGCACTCATACATGCTGGCAACACACTCCTACACATAAAATAAAAATAATAAAATATAAGCTGGGCGTGGTGGCGCATGCCTATAGTCCCAGCACTTGGGAGGCAGAGGCAGGCGGATCTCTGTGAGTTCAAGGCCAGCCTGGTCTACATAGTGAGTTCTGGGACAGCTCGCGCTACAGGGAGACACTGTCTCAAAAAGACCAACAAAACAAAACTAATTTTTAATATTATTATTGGGGGAAGGGTGTGCAGGGCAAAGGACACCTGGAAAAAAATGGGTAACTGTGGAGTCGGTTCTGTCCTTCCATCTTTAGATGGGTTCTATCAGGCTTGCATAGAACAATCTTTATCGGCTGGGCCATCTCGCTAGCTCAAGAACCTTTTAAACGAGTTCCCAACGTCCCCAAAACTGTTTCTTCATTTTTCCGTACCTCTCCACCTCCTCTGGGGTGCCTCTTCCACCTCTCCACGTCTACGAAGCCTTCCTGACCCAGGGTCTTGGCCAGGGCTGATAAACCAGAGTTCACAGACTGAATTTCACAAGGTAAAAGGCTGGGAGGATGATTGGACGTGGCTGCGCAGGGAGAACCCTCATGGGTACCGGTGCATCATAGGCCCCTAATATCCCTCAGCTGTCGACATCTCCTCTTTAACCTTTTTTTTTTCCTCTCCCTTTGGTCTTTTTTTTTTTTTGAAGCAGGGTCTCCCTGTAGCCCCAGCTGGCCTGGAACTCGCTATGTAGGCCTTGAACTCACAGAGATCCGCCTGCCTCTGGGATTAAAGGCGTGCGCCACCACGTCCAGCTTCTTTAACCTCTTCTAAATTCTCTCGTGGCTGCCACGCCCACTGCACCCTCCGCCCCCAAAAGGAGCTTCGGCCGAACTGACGGCGGAAATGGCCTGCGGGAGAGTTGCCCCGCCTCTTCCGGGACCTCTAGTCCCGAAAGCGTGTTTTCTGTGGCCACCGCAGGCCCCGCACTGTTCCGCGGAGGATGGCGCCCCCTGGTGGGCTCGGAGCTCAGCGCGGGAGCCGAAGCTTGCCCAGACCTCCACCTTCAGGCGGTTGATCTTTGGTCGGCCACCTCTTGGAACTGCTACCACCTTGCCAGCCCTCCTCCCGCGTCCTCTTCCTCCTCCTCCTCCCTCTCCTCCTCCTCCCCCTACACCCTCTCCTCCACTTCATGTGTATGAGTATTTTGCCTGTATGCATGTAAGTGCACCTGTGTCATGCAGTGCCCATGGAAGTCAGAAGAGGATGATGGAGCCCCTGGAACTGGAGTTACAGCCAGTTGTTAGCTGCCATGTGGGTGCTAACATGTCCTCTGCAAGAGATTCCAGTGCTCCTAAACACTTAACCAACTCTCCAGCCCCATGGCCAGTCTTCTTGCCTCCTTCTGCCTCTGCTCTAGCCTAGGCATCCTCTAATGTGTCATTCAGTGTCCTAGTAGGACAGAGCAGCAGCTGTTTAGTTTGTTCCTCGACCCCTATGGCACCCCATTGCTCTTTCCCAGTACCAGAATCCATCCATCCAGATCCTCAGAATGTCTCCAGTGACAACTATCTTTCCTCTTCCTCCTGGTGTTTCACAGCCTCTATTCAGGACTCTCCCTCTCTGCTTTCACTTGACAGCTGAAATTAGAAGGTGATTTGTGTGGTTCCTCACTGGACACTTCACCTACCTCCTGAAGGCTGAGGCTCAGTGCGAGACACTGTGCCAAGCCCAGGGTCAGTGTGCTGTGGGAGTTTGAATGCACTGCCATAGGCAGGACAAGGAGAGGAGCTGAGTAACACTTGGAAGGGCTCTGAGAAGGCTCGGTGGAGGGAGTGGAACTGAGGAAACTAGTCCAACGGCATAGTGCCTGCCTGGTGTGTACAAAGCTGAGTTCCATCCCCAGCAGATGGGAGAGGAGAGCTGGATATGTGGGGGTAATATAACTCAGTTGCTTAGTTGGTAGGGTGCTTGTCAAGCATACTTGAAATTCTAGGTTTGGTTCCTACTACCACATAAACTGAGCATGGCAGCATGTGTGTAATCACAGCACCTAGCAGATGGAGGCAAGAAGAAGAGTCTGCTCTAGGGGCCCCTCCAATGTCAGGCAGCAAGTAGGCCCAACATGGATCCCTGCGGCAGGCACCTGCTCACAAGTGGAGGTCCAAGCCCTCTGGGATCACCTCTGCCTTTCTGCCCTTCCCTTTCTGCCTGCTTCTTTCCCGAATGCTATCGTTTGGGTAACTGCACAGCCCAGACTCTGAGTGTTGACCATCAGAGGGCATCAGAGGCCACCTGCTGCAAATCTGAGTGTAAGGCTCAGGCTGAATGGGGTGACTGTGCTTGGTCTTGCAGGTTTAGGGCCTTGGGGTTTTTTTGTTTGTTTTTTGGAAGTTTCTGTTTCGTTTAGGAGAGGGGACAGAACCTCTCTACATATTTCTCCTTGCAACTGCCTCACCTGGCCCTTGTGTTTTTTTTTTTTTTTTTTTTTTTTTTTTTTTCCTTTAGTTAGCCTTTTGCAAATCTTAATGACTTTGCTTTAGAAACAAATCTTTA